GATTGATCAAATCCCACCCAGGCCCTCCTTTGCATACCTTGCTACATTTATTCATCACCAATTTACAACTCATCCCAATGCACCTTACAGAAGCCATGTGAAGAAAACCAAACGATTACATCGAGTCATTGACTTGATACAATCCTCCTGGATGAACATGTGGCAACAGTAGATATTTGCTTGTAAAAATAAAAAAGATTACAACAGAAGTTTAAATGTCCCAAGACAATGGAAAACAAAAGACAGTTGGAAAAAATGTGTTCTCAGCTATTTTTTATGACATGTCCAACAGTGGGGAGGCTGCTCCTCAGCTTTGATCCTGAAGCAGTGAAAGCACAGTTTGTTGATCCGTCTAATCTAAAACAAGCTCCATCTAAAAGGAACTATTCATATGAGCGGCTTAGATATATTTATGGGAGCCAATAATGAAAACAATTTAAACAAGATTTTAAAACTGTGTGCTCAACAAAGGGAGTGGGGAGATGTTGAAACTGTAATTATTTTACTGGGTTCTCTTACAAGTCTGGCTGTATCTATAAATCCGCCATAATAATAATTAGGATTTTAAAAAAATAAAGACAAACAGGTTCACAATAGTGTGAATAATTTACAGCTTTAAATCGGATTAATCAAATGTCTAAGTTTCTGGAAAGAATCGACTGAAGTCCTGAAATGTTTCAGGTTGTAATATTTATTGTTACAACTCAAAATAACATCAGTGAAAAGCAGAACAGAACAGCAAAAAGATATTTAACACCCAGGATTTTACAGCTTTATGAAGGTGCTTAATGCTGGGCCATTGCATAACATGAAGCTCTAAGAAGAATAAACCGCTGAGGTAAAGGACCTGGCAATGCTAACAAGTAGCTATGTAAAAAATACTTTCTGAGGACTTTTCACCTTACTGTCTACATTTAACAACAAATATCTGTATTTGTATTCCCTACTTTCGCCACTTTGGTTATTTTTATACATATCAACAAAATGAAACAGCAGCATTAAACAGGGAAAATGAGGACCCAATAGATAATCTATCCAGTTGGAGCACAGTTTGTTGATAGGTAAACACTGATGGATCAGATTCTGAGACACAAGACATACCCCATCCATCCCCCCTTTATTAGATTTTAAATGTACATTTTGATTATGTTTTAGGTTATATTTAATGTTAATGTCAGCGGCAACTTTAATGCTGTGAATACCACAGTTCTAAATGCATTCTGCTGTTCATGCAGGACTTCTGTTCAGTTCAATCTATGTTATCTTGTCTGAAATGTCTGTAAAGTGCCTTGAGATGACATGTTTGGTAAATTGGCACTATATATATATATATATATATATATATATATATATATATATATATATATATATATATATATATATATATATATAAACTGGTTTGAAATCTTAATTTAGAATGATGCTGGATCAAGTCATTATTTTTTAGTTTCCTTCTACCAGCAGGGTGAAGAAAAGAGGGAAACTAATTTATACTAGAGTACTATACTTGTTTATAAAGGTTGCTGTGTATAAGTTTAGAAACAAAGTATTTTTACTTTTTTTCGTCTAAGATCAATGTAGAACTTGTACTTTTTTACTTAAGTAAACAAGTTCAACAGGTACTTTTAATTTAACCAAAGTATTTTCTTTTACCAAGGTATCTGTAAGTAAAGAATGTTCGTATCTTTGACACTTCTGGTACTCAGCATTTCTAAAAGTGATGTCAATACTGGTTTCTTGTTACTGTCTCGAAGATTCAATGTCATTTTAAAGGAAAAATCCTGTAAATCAAAAAATAACTGAAGGTTTTGTGATTAGCTAAGAAGCCAAGATGACGGACCGTTATAAAAACCATTGTTTTCTTTTTTGCTGCAGATATTTGTGTCTCCATCACTGAGAGTGTGCTGTCCCCTCACATCTCTGCAATAGATAATCCCAATGTGCTGAACACCAAAGACCACAGCTGGAGGAAGAAAGGGAGGGGCCAGGCTAAGCATGTACTAAAAGGTAAGACCCCCACCCCCACAAGATGCCTTCAGTGAAGTAGGTGTCTAAATATGTCTCTTGTTCCATTTCTGGAGGTCTTTCGGTATTCATGGACCCAGCCAGTCCACAAACTATGTTGATAATTGGCTTTCTACTCATGTGTCAGCAATGGTGTACCCAAAGCATAACATTATGAGTCGAGAAGAAACCACAGTGCTTTTTGCTGTTCCTGCACCTAGCTGGAGCCATGCAGACAGTTTCATGGAGAGCAGCACTTGGTGTGAAATTCGAGTAAAACCACAGAATGGTGATTTGGTTTGTTTATTGGTAATAACTCACTAAGACTGCTGCTTAGTGCTCATGTCACCTTATTTAATTTAATGTAAGATTCTGGAAAAACCCCATATTTAAATGCACAAGGCATAAAGCTGAATCAGAAATACTTTAATAATATATATATATATATATATATATATATATATATATATATATATATACAAAACAAACCACACAAATTAATATAAATATATACTCATACAACTCTTCTAATATTGAAGAGCAATGTACTACCAAGTTTTCAACCAGCTTTTATGTCATTCTTTTTTATTTTAGGCTTTCTAAAGCTTCTACACTTTCTAATAGTCTTTTTATATATTTCTTTCGGATTTAGCAGTTTTTTCTCTTAACTGTTATCTTTATAAGGCAAGACAAGTTTGTTTGAATAATACGTTTCACTAGCAAGATCATTTAAAGTGCTGTACTGTACAGAAGAAAAAGAAGGAAATACGCTGAAAAATTACAATGCAACATAAAGGTTTTTAAATAATTAAGATGATTAATTAAAGTGAAAAAAGGTGATTAACCAAATGAAAGAAAGTTGGACTGAAAACCTAAACTCATCGTTTTAATATACAGTTAATTGCTGCTCTCAAGAATTAGATCTTTTAAAATGGATTTAACTTAAAGCCTCTCCAATTAATTACGTTATTACACATTTTAAATGCATTATTCTCATATTAAACCCAACTTAGGGTTTTAGATCTTTTACAGTTTTCTGGAAGTTTATTCCAGATTAGTGGGGCATAACGCCTGGTTTATGCTTGTCGCATCTGTTGCCTCCAGATTATCCGCATGGTGCACCTAGGAAAATTTGTAACTGCCTGGATATTTCTGTGCAGAAAAACACGGGGGGCAAGCAACAGCTCCTACAGGAGAGGGTTCACAAATATTAACATTGTGAGACATTTTCTGATTTGGCCTGTAAATAGTGCTATGATCAACAGATTGTGGAAAAACTCTTGAAAAGAAATTACTGTCGCTCTTAAAATACACAAAGAGGCTTTGAAAGTGTTGAAAACAGCAGTTTTTTTCTTTTTTTAAAAAAGATTTGCATAATAATTCTAAACCCTAGAGTTGGCCATGGTGTTTGTTAGACAGGGAAAAGTTGCACGTCTCATTGTGTACGTTTCAAACCTATGTGCATTTGTGTGTTGTCATGTAATTTTTAAAAACTTGCCGCAGGAAATACTAAGTGGTTTCTTAGCTATTATGAATGAAATAGGTGTATTTGTAACACAAATATCCTACCTTTAATTGCCGTCAGCAACCCATCACTGTGAGGTGACTTCAGAGGGAGAACACTTTTGAAGCTAGCTCAACATTCTTTAATTGAGATGGATGGAACCATTGATTATTACAGGAATCGTAAGGTCGGGAGAAAATCAAACATGTTTGAAATTCAGTCGGCCGTTGTAAAGTGGTTGTGGACAAATTATTCAGTGCATAAACAAGGATTCTTCTTCTTCTTCTTCCTCTGAGATGTAACCCCGGAAGCATGGTGGGGGTGCGGGTGAAATGGAGTTCTTCCTTTAAAATTGACAGACTGTAGTATCCACGTTTGCTCAGCCATGTCTTTGTCCAAATACATCGTTGTCTTTTCTTTTTAGGGCTTTCAGTACTCAAAATTACACAAATTGGCCAAGCCAGAGCAGAGCTTCATATTGCTAGCTCCATCTCACTGCGGAGCTGAGTCCGATGTGGTTTTTAGACGTACAGTAGATCACATTGTGTGCTGTTAACTTTTAAACCCCCTGTGAGTTGTGGCGGCGTGCAATGATTGAAAAATTGCAGTGTACACCCGGCTTAATATGACTGCAGCAGCCCTGGTAGAAAACACTACGCCTCTGATACAGATAGTATAACCAGCCCACTTATACCAGCCGAACCAGAAGAGACACTGTGTAGTGCTCCAACATCTCCCGATCTCATCTGACCTGCTTCACCCACTTTGAAAGCAGCTCAGGATCCTTAGGAAGCTTATATGAGCAGAATCCATCCTTATGGAGACTGAGGCAAAAAGCTGTGACCCAACACGCAGGCATAGCTGTATCTTAATCCATGAAAACTTCCGCAGCCGTCCATAACAGAACCACTGCTCCATCTTCCGTAGGTCTCCATACATCACTTTTGCTTTATCCTCCAGGCACTAAGCTGGGCTAAAGTCCACTGATTGGCAGGATTTCTTTTAGAATACAATATTTAATGCTGCTGCGCTTGTAAATCCTACTTATTTCACGGGTAATAAGGTTTTGGCTTACAAAAGTGTTAGGTTTATTCTTTATACATCATGTGCATTTTTATTCTGTTAGCCAGATTAGACAGAGTAGAAGGCCTTCCTTCACATGGTGGATGTCACTGTGTTTTCGGAGGTCATCTAATCAGGACAGCCTTCATGTCTTTAAAAATACACAGGATATGGGCACATTTTGGAGCCAGACTGATAAAGGAGAGCTATGGGTAATCCTGGGGCAAAGAGGCAAGATGCATAAAAGTCAAGGCATGGATGGCGTGTCAGTTTCTGATACGGACAAGCATCCACCTGATGCAACACATGGACTCATGAGGTATAAGAAGGAGGAGAGAACTGTGTTCGGGGCTCAATCATTGCTCAGTCTTTGCCGGACGCCCGCTGACGTTTTTTGAGCCCACAGCTTTGCTTACTCCAAGTAATTTCTCTGTCCTGTAACGACCTGACCTGGAATAAACGTGGTTAATTTTTTACTCCTGTTTTATAGTCCTTTTTTATAGGGTTTTACCCAGTTTGAGTTAAGAGTAGTAAATAACTTGCTCCCAGGTAAAGAACTAGAAGGGAAGTTCTGAGGCGCAGCTGCCTTCAGGGGGACCTAACTTCCATATTAAACAAAACAATACTAGAAATGTCAATATTGTGTCGTCAGCACTTAGCAAAGCTGAGCCTTAGGAAATAAAGCAAATGGTTCTGCAAAGTAGATTTGAGTCCGAAGACCTAAAAGGTCTGGATGGTTGATCCACTGACCAAAAGTCTTTAATATATTTTGGGACTAAATGATTTAAAGAGCAAAATAAGTATTTTAAAGTATATCCTCTGAGATATGGGGAGCCAAAGGAAGGACATCGAGAAGCTTTACCCCCCATGGAAGCATGCTGTAGCTGTTTTGGCTCGAGGACTTGAATAAAGATGCACACCACAGGTTTCAGATGCACTATATTGTTTAGAAAATGTGAAAATGTTGAAGGGGTATGAGTAATATTGTAAGGCCCAGTCGCTTTTTGACTCATCATCGGTTATTGCTGTTATCTTTTCTAAGGTCACGAGGGCGACCCTTGCCTACGCTCATCCGACTGCTCAGACGGCTACTGCTGCGCCCGTCACTTCTGGACCAAAATCTGCAAACCGGTGCTGCGGCAGGGAGAGGTATGCACCAAGCAGAGGAAGAAAGGTTCTCACGGCCTGGAGATCTTCCAGCGCTGCGACTGCGCCAAGGGCCTCTCCTGCAAGGTGTGGAAAGATGCCACCTCCTCATCCAAGTCCAGACTTCACATGTGCCAGAAGATCTGAAGCCGAGGCAGCTGCCACAGGCGCTGAGGCCTCTGTCTCCATCTGCCACGGAAAGTTTTTAGAAAAGAATGGCTTGTGGCTGCACTGAAAGGAGCAAAAGACAGAGACTAACTAGAGACAGAACAGACTTCTGAGGCGTGGGTTCAAAAGCTCTGCAAGCGAACAGCAAATGGGAACCCTCTGATGTGTTTGCTGTGAGCTGCCGTCATTGCACTCACGCAAGCGCGCAACTTCAAGACACAAGCATGTATTTTTCCTCGCAGCTTTAGGAGATGGACCAACCACGCCCCTCTGAAGAATTAAACATGACCGGATGATGTTCAGGGAACCGCAAAGATAGCTGGCAACATGCTGCGATGGGTGCGGACTTTGTCAAGGTGGAGACAGCAGATGTAGCAGACTTTTATTTTGTAAAATACAATATTCATTACAAGCCTCTCCAATTAGTTACTTTAAAATATTTTAAATACATATTCCTTAGATATTGAAATCTTTATCTTAGGGAACACTTTGTTGCATCCGTCAGACTTCTTTAGTGTTAATGTGCTTACACCTCACACTTATAAACCAAAGACCTACAGAGTGTTCTGCTTTGAGTTAATGAGTTTCATCTGCTGCGTTAGTTCAGCAGGCGAGAGATAAAGCATGATTGTGTTCACTTTGGTCTGTCAGATACAGCTGTGATCCGTCGGGACGAGAGCTGAAACTGTTTGTGTGCGAGGTGGAACTCCACTGCAGACTCGGCGGTACCGGTACCAGACAGAAAGCGGCTCTGCTTTCCCAGTCACATTAACGAGACTCCAGCATTTAAGGGTTTCCAATTGAGTTTTTTTTTTTTTTTTCCATTTGCAAAGCCCGTAGGAATGGAGACATGCGGAGATAGATTACATAGAGCTGGTGTTCAAAGAGAATCTGTGGTTTGATACTTTGTTCTCCGGGCGGTGCGGAACCCTGTTTACTTTTAAGCCTTTTTGAATACAACCACATACGTTCTTCTCATGAAATACTGAAAAACTTAATTCTGTTCCCGAACCCTGAAGCAGACACTCATAGAATTGCTTTAAAGCATACATCTTGTAACCATTTGAAATATCAATAAGCTTTTTTTTATGTAAATAAACTGGAAGCATTATATTTAAGACTGTATGTATATCATGTACATACTAATCCTGAACGTTCTAGTCAGAGGAGATATGGTAGGTAGACATAAACATGAGACTGCTTACATGAAAAAAGACAGCTTGTAGCAGGTAATACAATGATTTCCTGACTGTTTTGTGTAAATGGTGTGTAAATTATGTTAAGATGTATATCCCACTAAAATGATATGTGTGAATATTTTACATTGATTTGGTTTGTGTTTTCAAAATAATGGAAGAATAAAAGGAATGTATTTTGTATAAGCAATCACAAAGTATGTGTTATTGATTGATGTGTTTCCTGCTGCTTCATTTTATTACAAATCCCCTTGAAATAAGAGGATATAATGATGACAAACATTACGATACAATCCAACACCATACATTAGATACAATCTGAGTAGAAATCAGAAAACATTTTATTGTCATTAAAAAATGTATATATCAATAAAGGTATTTAAAAACGATAGTATATATGCAATATATCACTATATGCTGAATACAATATAATAATGTACAATATTGTCAAATAAACTGAAGTATCAAAGTTTAATCATTAGTTAAATTAACTATTTCTGTTTCACAATATATGCATTAAACTGTTTTTAAAGTTGCTAAGTTAAACAGATGAGAGTCTTATTCAAAATGAGAATACTTTTTACTTTTTTTTAAGTAAATCACTGAGTGAATCAGATCATATAGATTAATTACACTGATTTGGATGATTCAGGATTTTACTTCTGCCCATTATAACATTATAAAAATACAGCATTTTAGACCTAACAAAAAATAAGACAGAAATAATGGAGTAATAAATGATAGCCTGTAAGATATGTAGTTGTCTGAGCTTACAATGTTGTATTTTGTTCATTATTATGTATGCTATATATATGTGTATGTTAGCACAACTGCTGGAGTGCCATGAAAGTAGAGTGCCACATTTCTTTTGACCGCTATCACTTAAGAACTTTATGCTCAATAACTAAGTCTATTATATTTTTTGGAAATGTTATTTCTTTCCACTAATAAAGTTAGGAAAAGTATATATATATTTTTTTTATCTCAATTGATCTTCATTCATGAATGCATCAGACAAGCGGTGGTCAGACTTTATATATACATATATTTTATATATTGGGAAAAAAAAAATATATATATATATTTGTTTTCAAATTGTTTTAATATTACTGGATAGTATCTGTGCATACATCCATGCATGAGAAAAAAAACTGTTTTATTATTTTCCTGTAAAAAATAGAAAAGTATATTGTTTATTAATAAAATGTTTACATAATATGAGGCTTAATATTTCTATCATTTCAATAGACTTTTTGTTATTGAAAACAAAGTGCTTAAAAAGGCAAGGTTCATAAAACCTGAAGTGACAGAGTCAGCAGCGGAGATGTTTTCATGATCACAAACAAACCTCATGAAAGCCTTAATGAGCTGATGCTTTGCAGATGTCATCTCATCTAAGACTCCCTTCTCATCCCAGAGACAATGTGCGGGGTACTTTGTGGTTCTGTGCAAATATTTTTATTACATGTTGTAAGCCTAACAACACATGACGGGAATTAAAGACATTTTATTGACTTAATTGTGTGGTCGCCCTCACATACCCACTGGTACTAACAGCAGTCCCACCACTTTGACTGGATTTCAGATGCTCTTAGGTGGAATTGTCTGTAGACAACTGAGACCAGCATCTGCTGATCTAAAGATGAACAACCTCAAACACTTAAAACATCAACTATAAGCTTAATAATATAGGAACGTTTTAAGCCCTGCCTTAAAATAGACAAGGTGTCTGCCTCAAACTTAAACTGGTAGTTGGTTCCACAGGAGAGGAGCCTGATAACTAAAATATCTGCCTCCCATTCTACTTTTAGAAATTGTAGGAACCACTAGTAAACCTGCAGATTGAGAGCAAAGTGCATTAGGAATTATCAGATCTCTAATATTATGGCTTAAAGGCTTTATGAAAAGGAGGATTTTAAATTCTATTCCAGATTTAACTGGAAGCCAATGAAGAGAAGCAGGATAGGAGAGATATGATCTCTCTTTTAACATTTTCATCAGAACTCTGGATCAGCTGAAGGCTTTTAACTACAGTTTGTGGACTTCCTGATAGTAGAAATTTACAATAGTCCAGCCTTGAAGTAACAAATGCAACTAAGTTTTGTAATATTCCAGAGATCAATAAAGAAAACTCTAGAAACCTGTTTATTATGGAATTTAAATGACAAGTCTTGATGAAAAATAACACCAAGATTTCTTTCTATTAATATTACACATCCAAGATCAATTTAATTCAAAATAAAGAGACAAATCAGTCAGCTTCTTTCTTAAAGCTACAGTGTGTAATTTTCAGCGACATCTAACGTCCAGACTGCAGACCGCAGCAACATGAACATCTCCCCCCCACCGCTTCTCCCCCCCAACAGTA